AAAATAAAATTATATATATAATAAAACTTATTCCATGCCCTTTTACACTAAATATTGATTAGAAAAAGCTTAGTTTCATGAAATTTCTATGTTCAAAGAACATTGTAAACTGGTAAGACAAATCCCACCAATCATTTTCTAAGAGTACAAAGTATTACGGTGTTGTTTATTACTTGGGTTAGTTCATTGCCATCTGTGATCAGCATGAGTGATCTACTGATGTTGCTGAAGTGTTTATCCTGTCTACAGAACTGTGAGATATAGCTGGCTGCAATTAGCATTTTTCAGTTCCCAGGAAGGAGGAAACAATATTTTAATCTGTTTTTCTGGCTGTGATGAAGATACTATTAATGCATTTACACACTGTGAAGCTAGAGATTTAGTATCTTGACTTCTGATAGAGTGCTGTTGCATTTACCAGTGGAGATTTGAGTCAAATGAATTGTATTTACAAGCCAATGGGAGGAAAAGCACGGCCCAGTTCCAGTTCACTGTTCCTGTTGATTTCAAACAGAAGCAGCATCCAAACAGTCCAAATCTACTCCTACATTTACTTTTTGTCCCACTTTTTCTTTCATGACTTTTTTTTGTTATCTTGCAGAAGTAGCTTTATTACTACGAATAACATCCTCAAAGAGGAATAAATGTCTCTTCCAAACTTTTTGTACATCCCAATTTGATGTACATCAGTAATGTGTTCCAATGGGGAATTTTGGTGTTCCTTGAAACCATCAATCTACTTTCTGCATAGTAATTAGACCCATATGAAAGATGGTGTAAAGATAAGCATACAAGTATTAAGTGACTCTTACAGAGGCGTAGTAAACTAGTAATAGAATTGAGTAAATAATCCTATTCAGCCCTGCTGAATCTAAAGGCTAGATTTCTAACCCTAAATAAGATTAGCAAAAATTTCTAAGCTTTTAATCTAGCTAGTGCTGCCCTTTTCAGGATTTGAGTCTAAGAGTCCAGACACTTTGAAAGATTTCTGTTATTAAATGCCTACAATCTAAGCAGATTTATTTTGGGCCTTAGTTTTAATAATACAGTTGAATTATTTTTAAAAAAATCTTAGATCACAATAAATTATATGCAAATTGAATGTACATTATAATCTGTCTTTGTAAATGAAAGCAGTAGCAGCCAATTGTAGATACAATGTTGGGGATTTTGCATTTTCTTCATTTGTTTTACAATGTGCCTCTTTGCCTGATGTTCAGCTGTACCATACATTATGAGATTGCAAAACAGCATGGTCAGTAGGGAGAAAAAATATTTTAGGATGTTGCCTTTTGCAGCACTGCAGGGAAATGTCATACTACCTAACAGTTTATTTGTCATCCAGCGTGGTTTCTTGCAGAGGAGACAAAATATCTGCAGAACTTTTCAAAAAGGTTTCCTGTTGTTGTGCACAATTTGTGTGAGGTTTCGCAGCCATAATTTTACAAAACAAGAAGCACACCTCCTTGCTAAATTCAGAGAAAAATGTCCCCAGTCTGCTCAGTGATGCCACAGACTCATTTGTTTCCTAGGAACTCTGTTTTATACAATCATCACCACTAGGTGTCACTAAAAATCGTAACTCCGCACAGGTGCTGTTATTTAAATAAGTGATAAAATCACAGAATGTGTTTAAAAATACAGTTTACTCAGTATGAAAGAATAATTTACATCCCTAATAGGTTGATTGGAAACATATCTCCTGAGGAGAATTTATTTGTAGATTCTTCCCCTTTTTTCAGTATCAGTGATTCACTTCAGCAGGGCAAGATGACTTTTTTTTTTTTGTAATCTTTCCTATGCATATTGGAAAGTGATTTGGAAAATGTTTCTAAATGTTTCTAAAATGACAAGTTCCTAAGCACTGTTCATTTTGCCCTGTGGGGTTGGCTTAGAAGAGTGCCTAATGCTAAAGCACTGTAAGGACTTAGTAAACATAAGCACTGAAGCAGAAAACAAGTAGGTGAAATACTAGAAAATCCATGTCTTATGTTACTAGTGTACCGGAGAGGCTGGTGGGTGGACTCCTCTAGGTGGCTGCTGTGTCACTTTACGGAAAAAGGAAGAGTGTTGTACTGAGAAGACATCAGAATTTATGGCTGAGTGGAGAAACCAAGAGATCAAGTCACAGACAGGTAGAGCTCCTGATTTTGGGATCTGCAAAGATCCAGATATAAGTCAGACCTAACAAGGACAGACTGATTGTACAGAACAGCTACTAGAAAAAAGAAATCAGACAAACTTTTCATTTGCTTAAAGAAATGTAAATTGGTGAATCTGGGGAGGAGCGGAAGGAATATGTTATGTTGATCATGGCAGTTTTGACTAATAATACAAAAGATATTACCAGCTAAAAGTTTAGAAGACCATTGTGCTTTCATTAGTAGTAAACGAAAGCATGAAACTGAATACCTCCTTGTTCACATGGTGACCAGGAAAAATTCGGAAGATAAAAGTAATTAATTTCTTCTGTCATGCTGGAAGTGAACAGGAAATGAAAAAAAGAGATTGGGTAGGTGGAAGGCAAAGCAAAACTCCCACTGTCTTAGTGTAGGACTTCATCTTGTGTTTACAGCAGTCCGTTGCAGACTGTAATTAATATATCTAAGAACAAGGTTGACAGCTCACCATTTTGCTGAGTTTCATGATTTGGGGGAGATTTAAAACTTCCAGTTGCCAAATCTTAGTATTTATCTGGTTTTGAAGCACATTTGCAGTCTTCATGGTTAAGAAGCTTGAAAACGAATTTTCTAAGATGCCCACCATCAGATGACAGAAATACGTTTTGCATGTGCACATGTGTGTGTAAGGAGGATATTAATATAATTTTGAAGGTACTGTGTTGAGGTTTCTGATTCACTGAGACAGTGAAACTGCAGGGTAAAATTTATTTATGTCTGCACCAGAATTTACCCCTCTGTATGTGAGTAAGTGGATTCTCACGCAGACTTGAGTGAGGAACTGATACTCCCAACTCAGAATTTGCCTCAGTGTTTTCTTTAAGTAATGGCCACATCCTACTTTTTTTCACAGTAGTATTAGAGCTGTACTTTAGCCTCTGAATAGCATGAATTAACAAAATACTTATTTTTTTAAAACCAAATCACTTTTTTTTTCAACTTTTCTGGTCTTTTTCCAACCCCACATGAAACATCAGGAAAGTATCAGGAAAAAGGAAACCAAATGCTGATGTGACTTCTCAGATAAAAAAAAATGATAGTGTCCACATTGCTTCTATTTCCCCAATTCCCTGATGTTGTAGTCTGCACAGATCAGTAAGCAGCGTGTGCCCAGTGGTGCCCTTGTTTGTTACACTGTGCCTGTGGCCCTTTCCTAATGCTTTGATACGCCTTCCTGGTTCTACTGTGTTTGGGTACCCAGTTTCCTGTAGTCTTTCCTCACTATTAAGCTCTATTTACTGCCCTTTTCCAGGTGCTGCTCTGCCCTCATTTACTTCACATGCATGCCTTTCTGTGCGTAGGTATTTTTGTTTTTCTTCCCCTCTGCCACATTTCAGAGTCAGTAATCCTGTGCTTGCAACCTCTGCCAGTTGACTCACCACCAGACTGTGTATGCAAGGTCATTCTGTAAGACAACAAGGCTGCTAATTTAGCAATATCATCTACTGGATCAGAACACACTGGTTTTGTTTCTCAGCTTCCTCAAGTAATCAGTATCTGCTGTCTTAAGTCCTTTACTAAAGATCTTATTTCCTGTGCAGATGCGGCTAGCTCTCTAGATAACTCTACTGAAGCACAAGTTAGAATAATAATAAATACATTTATTTCTATCCTGCCCTTTTGGTTTCCCAAACTGCGGGCTTCCAATACAAAGGAAACAAAATAGTATTTGAAGTAATATGGCAGACTCAGTTGCCTTACTTTGAGATTGCTGGCTTCAAGATGGGAGTTTAGTTTCTTACTAAGCATTATCATAAACAGTTTGAAGATTAATGTTTTTGTACCTGAACTGTGCTGCCCTGTACAGCATCTCTTCAACAAAGGTAGAATCCATCCAGGTCAATGGGGAAAAGAGGCAAGATTCTTCTAAAGGCTCTGCTGAGAGGGAAGTAATGCTATGGAAGAAAGCCAATGTTAAAATTCTTAAAGAGTGTGTGTGGGGGTGACTTTCCACTGCTGCTTGTGCGTTACTGCTGTGAGAGGAGGGAGTTGTTTGTTTCTGCAGATTTAATAATTTGACTCTGTTTTGGCCAGAGTATTAGCTGCTTTTCAGCAGTGGAAAAAGCTGTTAGTAGTTCAAAATGTTAAATTTGTTTCACAGAAGATAAGTAAAAACACTATTTTCCTTATTTTTCCATAAGAATTAGAGCAATTGTCCCAGTTTTCCCCCCAAACCTGAAGATACATTTTCCTTGCTGCTATCCCTCTCTTTGCATCTTTCTCTAGCTCCATTTTATTTTTAATAATAAAAAATTGAAAAGTGGGAGGAAAATGAGATGGGAAAATCTTAAATATTTTGTATTTACATTTGAAACTAATCCAATAATTATTCTTTTCAGTATGTTTTAAGACTAAGTGAAAAATTTTAACTTATTCCACTGCTTATTTGTGTACTTTACCACACTACAGACTTCATTAGTACTTGAAAAAAAATGTTGTTTGTGGGACAATGTAGGTGGTGTAGACAGAAACACAACCTTGCTTGATAAACAGCAACTGACCAAGAGAAAGCCAAAGTGGAAGGCTCAATATTTGTCCTTTTAACCCACATAAAAGCATGTGACATTAGTATAGCCCTCTACAGTGTTTGCAATTTCCTCTAATATCCCCAGTGAACCCCATGAGCTTTGTGGATGCTTGCTTCACTACCAAAAATAGACTGCGCTATCCTAACTCGTTGATGTTTCATTCATTTGATCTCTCTGCTGTGGAAACTACTGAAGGCGTATTACTGATACTGCCATTCTGAAGAGTTAAAAAAGGAAGCTTTTTTGTTTCCCTCCTTGTTTGCTGCCGTAGGCAATGAACACTCTTATATTCAATATTCAATATATTCAATATTCTTACTCCCAAACAAAACAGTTGGAGTCTCTCTGGAAGGCAAGGGTGGAGCAATGCAGATTTTTTTTTTTACCTTTCAAAATATTAGGAGAAAACAGGAAACTGCAAAGGTTGAAGCTATCTTATCTAGGGAAGAATGCTCCAAGAGCTTGGTGTTTCCATTAGTGCAACAGTGCTAAACTAATACAGGTTTGCAGTTTTAAAAGTCAGAAGACAGTATTTACTGGGACTGTAGCAAACATGTTTGTTCTTTGATTAGTTGGCACAGCAAACCAGAAATGTCACAATTTCAAAACATGTCTCCGCTTAATGAAAAAAGGGACAAATGTACCTGAAAAATTGCCGGTTTTAAATGGAAATCTGATGAAAGGTTTTATTATAAAATATAGTGCTTATAATATATGCACATCATTTTAAACAAAAACATATTCTGTTTTCAGAATGTTGCATAACACTAACCAACATAATTTTATGTTCAGTACTGTCTTTTCAGCCCAGTTTGTATCTGTCCTCCTCATTTTTCTTAGTTTCAACAGACACTTATTCTAAAAGGCATAATTCTTATTCCCACATGAACCGCGACATCCAGGTACATAGATGCAGACACATATTTTGGCATTGAAAATGCATCATTTTTATAATACAGTAAAATGCACACAACTGGTAGGCATTAAATAATAGGTGGGTGGAAGAAGATCCTTGAGAGTGATGTTTGTGCTTTACTCTCCAGAGCAGGAAGCATGGCTAAGTTGGTAGCTCGCTGGGCTAAGATGTCAGAAGGTCAGATCACACATTAGGATTTGGGCTCATCCCAAATGTTGATGCAATATTGAAGGAGGAAGGGAAAGGGAAAGGCATGTGACAGTAAAGGACATTGTATTCACCAGTAAACATTGATTGGAAATATCCATCGTTGGACCAGGTAGAAGAAAGTCCACTACAGAATCAACAAAAAGATTTATTACTCTTCTGTTGCTAAATATTGAATTAGGCTATTAATGAGTAACAGGTCTGTTGAAGAAGAATGTACTTACTAACATCAAAAATCCTTTAAAATTAATTTAATTTTAATTAAATATGATTCAGTATATATTCCCATCTGCCAAAAAGAGAGTCTCGCCATGGATAAAGCTAAAATTTTGTGAGTGCTATTTGGCTCATCATGTTGTCTTTAAAAATACTGTGCCATGATAGTTAAGGTAAAATTCGAGGATCATTGTGGAACGCTTAGATATTCTAAATTTGCATTTCATCTTCTCTTTATATTACATCTCAGTCTTGCTTGGTTGAGCCTTTCCCAGCTTTAACCTCTCAAATACGATCTACAGCTGCTGGATGCAACAGTACATGAACAATAACCAGCATCAATAACTTTTTTCTGAGTGTGCAGCGCAGCCTCGGTTTGTCTGCTATTGCTGTCCTTTTCCAAAAGTAATGTTTTCATCATGTTTTCACTCAATAGTGTATTTATTATGATATTAAGCTTCACTAGCAAAGATTCTGAACCTCTGCTTTCATTTAATTTAAAATTCCCAGATTTCTCACCAAACTCCTACCAATAATTTTAGTTAAAATAATGAACTAAAGCAATAATGCAAGACTACAATAAGCATCTTGTCAAAAATGTGTATGTACCTGTTTCTAATACAGGTCTTATAAGGATTTTCATATACTTGTGCATCTCATTGTATATCACAGGAATTTAGCTCATTCAAGCTGGTCTGTTAAATAACAGCATTTGGAAAGAAAATAATGCTGCCTTCTCAGAAGGATTCACACTGTGATCTCCTGAATTTATTATTATTAAAAA